CTTTTCACAATATTCTAATTTTGAATTTGGGGCTTTCATAAGCTGTAGCCTAAGCCAGCTTCTCCCTCGTTACCTGCTTTGTTTGCTCCCTATTTAGTCTCCCTGTGTTTGCAGTCCTGTGCTGGTTCGTTGTATGTAGGCCTACGTCATAATTCTACCTTGTATGTTCCTCCTGTCTGTTGTCAAATCAAGTCTTCCCCCTTGGGGTAGTTTTTGTTTGTTTATTTGTATTTTTATTAAAAGCCTTCATTCTACTGCGATTGAGTCCTCGCCTCATCTTCTCAACCCCAAACCCTGACACGTATATAAATTTGTTACTTAAAATGATCTGAAAAAAATTACAGTAAATACACTTTATCTAGTTGAAAAGGAAATATTTCTCATTTTCCTTGAAGCAAATGACTAAACCAAAAACTAAAATAAAAATGAATTAAAACTACACTCACCTAAAGGATTATTAGTAACACCATACTAATACTGTGTTTGACCCCCTTTCGCCTTCAGTACTCCCTTAATTCTACGTGGCATTGATTCAACAAGGTGCTGAAAGCATTCTTTAGAAATGTTGGCCCATATTGATAGGATAGCATCTTGCAGTTGATGGAGATTTGTGGGATGCACATCCAGGGCACGAAGCTCCCGTTCCACCACATCCCAAAGATGCTCAATTGGATTGAGATCTGGTGACTGTGGGGGCCATTTTAGTACAGTGAACTCATTGTCATGTTCAAGAAACCAATTTGAAATGATTCGAGCTTTGTGACATGGTGCATTATCCTGCTGGAAGTATAGCCATCAGAGGGATGGGTACATGGTGGCCATAAAGGGATGGACATGGTCAGAAACAATGCTCAGGTAGGCCGTGGCATTTAAACGATGCCCAATTGGCACTAAGGGGCCTAAAGTGTGCCAAGAAAACATCCCCCACACCATTACACCACCACCACCAGCCTGCACAGTGGTAACAAGGCATGATGGATCCATGTTCTCATTCTGTTTACGCCAAATTCTGACTCTACCATCTGAATGTCTCAACAGAAATCGAGACTTATCAGACCAGGCAACATTTTTCCAGTCTTCAACTGTCCAATTTTGGTGAGCTCTTGCAAATTGTAGGCTCTTTTTCCTATTTGTAGTGGAGATGAGTGGTACCCAGTGGGCTCTTCTGCTGTTGTAGCCCATCCGCCCCAAGGTTGTGCGTGTTGTGGCTTCACAAATGCTTTGCTGCATACCTTGGTTGTAACGAGTGGTTATTTCAGTCAAAGTTGCTCTTCTATCAGCTTGAATCAGTCGGCCCATTCTCCTCTGACCTCTAGCATCAACGAGGCATTTTCGCCCACAGGACTGCCGCATACTGGATGTTTTTCCCTTTTCACACCATTCTTTGTAAACCCTAGAAATGGTTGTGCATGAAAATCCCAGTAACTGAGCAGATTGTGAAATACTCAGACCGGCCCGTCTGGCACCAACAACCATGCCACGCTCAAAATAGCTTAAATCACCTTTCTTTCCCATTCTGACATTCAGTTTGGAGTTCAGGAGATTGTCTTGACCAGGACCACACCCCTAAATGCATTGAAGCAACTGCCATGTGATTGGTTGATTAGATAATTGCATTAATGATAAATTGAACAGGTGTTCCTAATAATCCTTTAGGTGAGTGTATATGGACATTAAAAAACAAACACAATAATGACAAACTCTTAAATGAAAACAGAAAATATAAAAATAAACACGGATTCAAACTGTTAATCAAAAATTTTGTAGTATCTCAATGATACTAAACACTGACAGAACCACTCGTTCTTATTGCACATTTTATTGCACACAAAAACAGATTTGTCTGTAGAACAAAAGCCATAAAGCATTCGATTTTCGCTCTCCACCATTATTATTATTTAGTGGCATCCCTGTTTTGTCTTTGCACTTGATCATTCAGTCTCTAAAACCAGAAGCAATTGTGATCTTTACAAAATTTGGTGAATCTCACAGGACCGAAGTAACGGAATGCATATCTATATATATATATGCCAACATACGAAATGGTATCAATAGTGAAAATGTACAGCAGTATACTTCTTCATCTTAACAGATGTGGACATCAATAAAAGACAATCAAAAAATGTCTAGCGATCTTTTAGCAGAACATAGACTAGACATTGTTAGACTCATTGGTTTTCTCCATTCTAACACACAACACTACAGTACTCACACCATATCCATGAAGGTATTCATGTCTATAGAAATATTATAAACACTTCAACTTGACTTTATAAAACTAGGCAAATTGTAGTAAATATAGACAGTAAAACTTTCTTTCTGTGTACTCTCGTGTAATAACGAACAAGCCTAAGCCTATATAAATAACAAATATCCCTAAAAATACCTAAATATCTTTTTTTTTCTCAATAATATGAACATTTTATTTACCATTAAAATTACCCTTTTTTGACTGCAAGGGGGAAAATCTAAAAAATTCAGTACACATGTATTATATTCTATAACAACCAGTTACAAACCTTTTTTTTAAAAAACGTCCAAAAAACTACTATCAAAAATACAATCACGTTAAATACTATTACAGGCAAACCTGTGTTGTTTTGTTTATCGCTTAAAGAACTACTGTTTCTACAAGTATTCCCACACTCACTTACAGTGATCATCAAAGACATATCAAATCATCAGTCTATGAATTCAGAAGTATTGCTACAGTCAGTGCAAACAGATTAAAGACAGAATTACCACAACGTGATTACTTTGTCAATAACTACAGTAAATAAACAGTCTTTATATAACAAGTGCTATTACATAATCCGATTACAAAAAACAAGTACTTGTAATTAGAGTATACATTACTTTTTAAAAAGAAACAAACACGTAATCAGAGTACAGTTACTTTTCATGCTGACATATTGATTATATTATATCAGTCAACAGCAATAAATTAGTTAATTAAATTGTAATTTACTAATAGTGAGCTGTCTGAGTCAGAGGCTGAAGTATGTTTGGTTGATCTTAATGTGACGTGTCCTTGATTTACAAAAGATGTTTATCTATAGCAAAAGTAATAGTGAACTTTAATAGTCTGCTGTTATTTTACCATGTTTACTACTGTGTAATGAAAGTGGAGTTAAATGATACTTAAAATAGTTCACTCAAAGAAGAAAATTCTATCACAAAAGAAGATTTTTTGAGTTGAAGGAAAAAAAAAATGTCATACAGGTTTGGAACAAAATGGTGAGTAAATGATGACATAATTTTCATTTCTGGGTGAACTATCCCTTTAATTCACAAATTAGCGATTTTGTTTTATTAATCAAAACATGCAATAATTGAAGAAACAATTAAGGCTGTTTGTGTTGATAATAAAGGTGTGCAATAGTTTAAGGAAAATGTTCCTTTTTGGTCTTTTGTGTGTTTTTGTCAGAACAACGCGGCAGTATTGTGGAAATAAATAAGAGTCAGCTCAAAAGCGCTTCAAAAACAATCAAATTATAATACTTAAAACTTGTAATCTAAAAGAGTTATTGATTACATTTTTAGGCATTTAATTTGTAATTAGTGCCAAATTATGTCAGAAGTTACATACCCAACACTGTATATAGATGCATGCATGCTTGATCATTATATATTCCTAAAAACAACTGGTTTAATGCTGTCATGTAGTACAATATGTTGTTCTGAATGAACAACCCTGCGATTATCTACGTCTGAATGCTGATATCGAGTACAGCACGACTGCGAGAATGATTTTGCTTTTATACAGCTGTTTTATAAAAAATGTATTCATTTAGTCTTATTTAGACCTATATAGAAATACTGTTGTGCTCATAAGTTTAGAAGCACCGTGCAGATCCTTCAAAATTCTAATAATTAAATAAAAACATAAGATGAATAATACAAATTGCATTTTGTCTTGAATTTAGTACTGCCTCTCTGAATACACCACAGATAATGTGGACAAAAAAAAAAGACAAAATAATAACTGAATAAAAAAAAAAAAGTAAAATAAACATGGATTAGTAGGACACAGCACACAGTATTAGGATTCAAGGGTGTGTAAACTTTTGAAAATTTTCATTAGTGTCAAATAAAAAAATTGGCATGGGGGGGTAGTCTTGTGGACCAATTCCAGGGCAGTACTTTATGATCCCTTTTTTATTTTTTTATTGACTTTTTTAGATTCTGCAAGGTGTATGTAAACATACAACCTCAAATGTATTTCCAGAAAAAGCCAAAGCATCAAGGTCTGGATGTCACCAAGTAACAAACAGACTGGAATACTGGAATAGTGTATATCAGTAACGCTGAAAAACAGCCATTTCCAGCATTTCCACTCGGTTCGAGCTCCACTATGAGTTTACACCTCAATAGTGAGAGAGACAGTATACATAAATTGGAAAGCTCTGAACACAGAGTGTGTGAAACATCCCAGTGCTGTTATATTCTCTATTGGTACTCTTGGAATGCAGCTCAGCCAATCGAATTTGAGGACTAACTGACCAGTTGTGTAAATTAACACAGCAACAGGACTTCCCTCATGAAAAAGAAGTGCGCTTAATTGTATCGAATGTGCACTTGTAATGCACTTCAAATCTTAACATTTTTATTTATTTTTAAAACTGTACTTGCAGAAAAAAAATATTATTGAATTAAAAGGCCACTTAAGTGGACTTAATGTCAAATTAAAAGTTTTAAATTTTCCCTTTATAACAAAGTAGACTTTTCATAATTGTGTTATGAAACATAGTCATGACATTTGACTAAGTACAGTTTTAAAAAAGTCTACTTTGTAATAGTCAAATTAAAAGTTTTACTTTGAAGTATGTATTATTTTTTAATTATAAATTATGTTTTAATAATACTTTGCCATGCTTTAAATAAAGTACATTTATTTTGATGTGTTGACTAACATATTAATGCACATGTAAAGTACTTGATTATAATTTGAACTGATTGATATTACAGCTAAAGTTAATATATTTTAAATGTACTAAATTGCAACTTCATCTTTACAAATGTGTAATTACAAATATATTTAAATGCATGACATACTAGTTTCAACAGAAATGACATTAAAGCAGATTTTAGTTTACCATAAATACTTATCAGTGCATTAGGCAGTTCACTAACCATATTTCAAAGACAATAGAAGTAATTATGAAATTACAAATAAAGATATTAAGTCACACTGAAGTGGGTGTAAAGTTCAACCTATCACATTTAATATACATTTAAATTATTATAAAATTTAATTTAATTGTAATTAACCTGCGATTAAGTGTCTGAAGACATGACATCCACTTATATATTTTTTCCATAATAAATACTTTTTAAAAGTATGCTAAAGTGTACTTCTTTTTCACAAGGGTTTAACACAGCAAAGAGAATATACTGAAGTTATAAGCAGCTAAACAGTGACTTATTGTAATACTGCAATGTTCTTGTAAGATGTCAGACTGAAGATAAAACCATTATATTATACAGTATATCTTCCAGCTTGAAGCAGTGCTTAATGGACAGATCAGAGGACTGATTGGATATGAGCACTGTCATTTCAGTTTGAAAACCATTCTGTAGAGCACATCATTTCCTTTTGCTGCTACATCGGATGAAGGCATGAAATCAGCCGACATTTAGTACCTGATCAGTAAAAGCACTATCAAATTCAACCCAAAAAAACAATGCAAAAAAAACAAAAAAAAAACAGTCAGATTTGCAGGATATAAACTTGTGTGAAGCCTCTAGAGCTGACCAAAGAGGATGGAGCAGAGCAAAAAAACGGAGTAAAGGAGCAAGAGACCAAGACCCAGTTTCCGATCCAGCTTCCAGCCATTCAGGTGCACACTCAGGACCTACAAGACACATGACACAGTTAACACGGACACTACTACTAGCATTGAGTATGTCTGTGCGGTAGTCAGTGTGTGATTAGGGGGATTTCACTGCCTATGCTTTTAATATCCCACTTTCTGATTCATTTTTCATCCACAGAGGGAAATAAAAAATAAAAGAATAAAAAAGGTAATTTCGAGTTTATATCTCACAATTCTGAGAGAGAAAAAAAATCTGATTTGTTAAGAATATTGGTCACACATCAGATTAGGGTCCAATTCTCATTATTAACTATTAACTGCCACTTTTGCCTCAATAAACTCCTAATTACTGCTTATTAATAGTTAGTGAGGTAGTTGTAAAATGTAGGTATGGGTTAGGATTAAGGGATGTAGTGCTTTATAAGTATTAATAAACAGCCAATATCCTAGAAATGTCCATGCTAATAAGCAATTAGTTAATAGTGAGACTTGAACCCTAAACTAAAGTGTTACCAATTTTTTATTTTTTTTTACGATTATGTAATTAATATGCAAACCAAATATGGTTGAGAGTGTCTGGTGTAGGGCTTGTATGTTGTGGTACTGGGTTGCTCACAGTGAGGAAGACTGATGCGAGCAGCAGGATAACAGAATACACCAGGCCCTTATTATTGATGAATACCTGAGAAAAGACACAGACCAATCAGATGAAAGCATCAACGGGAAGGCGTTTGCATCGTTTTTAGAATACGTAAAATGCTCACTGTTGATCCATAGTCTACTACTAGAGTTCTTAGAGTCCAGGGGAAGCCCAGTCCCAGCAGGATGTCAAAGATATTGCTGCCAATGGAGTTAGACACTGCCATGTCCCCCATTCCTGAGACACATAATACAACATCATTGTAGTACATTTTCCAAATAATTGTGAGTGTGTGGTCCTAGTAAACGCTATGTTATGGGGACAAATTGTGCCCACAAAGATGGCAGTATCTAAAATCCTTGTTCTTGTGGGGACATTTTTGGTCCCCATGATTAAAACAGCTTATAATTCATACTATATGATGCTTTTTGAAAATGTAAAAATGCAGAACGTTTTCTGTAGGTTTATGGGATAGAATATACTGTTTGTACATAGCAAATGTAGTACTTCCAGATTACTTTCATACTATGTTCTATATGGTATTAATGTGTGTAGTATGATTAAATCATACTACACACATTAATACCATATAGAACCTACCTTTTTAGCGGTCGTGAAGTAATTATTCAAAATAAGTACCTACTCAACAGAGTATGCGATTTCGGACGCAGCCTACGACTGAACGTGACAGTGTGTGTGTACTCGGTTTTCACGTGACGTCACACCCTTTTAGGAACGCCCACCTGGAGTGTAAAACAAGGCTTTCCTCTATTGCCGGGAAGTAATTTTTACCACGTTTCTGCTAAATACTAATGTAGTAAGACAGTGATATTAAAAGACCAAATTCAGTATACATCTTTTTGATTATGCATACTATGTACAGGCACGCTGATGAACCCAGAATATAAACACAACACGCAGTTTCTCTTTAAAGGGGTCATATAATGGTACATGCACTTTTACAAGTTGATTGTACTGAAATGTGTGTTGGCAGTGCCTGTACACAACCATCATATAATGCTAAAAATCCATCCAGTGTTTTTGTTTTAATCTCCTTATATGTTTTTCCCTGCCTCAAATTGAGCCGTTCGTTTTTGTGACGTCAATAAAACGGACGCCCCTCCCATGATTGTTGATTGACAGCAGCGTTTCAACACAGACCCGCCCTCGCTCGTGAGCGAGCTGTCAATCATACTCCGCGCGGACCGGCGCGGTTCTCTTTCATCATCTCGTGTTCGAGATCCACCTATGGGAAGGGCATCCGCACCTGACCTCTGCAGAAGCAAATAATTGCACCAAGTCTGGCCTGACAGACAGAAGCGTGTGTCCAATGCTCGGTAAGGGACCCGCCCCTTACCAAGTGTATAAAACACTAGCACGCGCTATCTTACCTCAGTTGTTATTCGCTTCTCGCGACCTCTTTGCTTCGCAGCTCTACGGTTTTCGCTGACTTCACCACAGTCAACAGGAGGAAATATCTATTCGATCAGCCTCCGCCAGGCGTGATTGTCAAACGGTTGCGTTTAGTTGCGATTTATTTCTGGTTGCAAGCCACCCACGCTCACTACCTGGATTTGCTCAGGCTGCCCGCCTGTTTCTCAGCTTTCACCTCTCCGATGGATCACAAGCTCTCCGGTCCCACTAACACATCGGACGTGCAGTCGCGTGCATGCCCTGCCGCCTGCGGTTCACTAATTGCCGCGAGGGATGCCCATCCCTTTTGCGTAGTATGCATGGGATTAAAGCACGTGGAGGAAGCGCTTTCACTTCCTGAGAAGTGCACCCATTGCCTCGCCCTGCCTAGGAAGCTTCTTCGACATAGCCTCAAGGTTGCGTCCACCCAAAGCACAGACGAACAGTACGACTCGGACGCTGGAGTAGGTAAAAGCGTTACAGCTCCGGGGACTTCCCAGAGCATGCCTGCTCTCAGTTGGGCTGACCAGTCTAACGAGGGCCTACTCGAGGAAATCCTTCCCGGTATTTTCTCGCTCGACTACGAGCCGCCCGGCTCAGGCTCGGACGAGGACCCCGCTATACTTGAGGGCTCGGACGACGAGGAAACCATCCCGTCCGCCCAAGCTCCCCCGGTTAGCGGCTCGGCTACACTGCCGCACGCGGTCCTTCTCGAGGTGTGTGAGCGAGCGGCCGCTCGTCTCGGCATGGAATGGCCGGCCCTCCAGAACGCAGCTGACCAAGAGAGGGATGTGTATGACAGCAAACTCCTAGGTCCCCCTCCCGGTCCTAGGAAGCAGCTCATGCCTGTACTCCCTGCGTGCGCTAAGCACATGCGACACTATTGGAAGGACCCGCTAGATCTTAAGTACGGCTTGGCGGGTCTGGAGGTTAAAGATATGGCAGCGTGTGGCATGGGCGACCTTCCCACCATCGAGCCCTCGGTCGCCAGACACCTTAACCCCTCGCAGGGAGGGTTACAGGCCCCTCCTAAGCCAGTTCTCCCTAATAAGATGGACCGCTTCTCAGCGTCTGTCTTCCAGGCCTCGTACAAGGCCTCGGCTCTCGCGGTACGGGCTCTAAATGTTTCCTCCCTCCTCTCGGCCTACCAGGCTGAGCTGTTGGAGGATATGAGTTCTCCTTTGGAGAAAGGCGTATCATCGCCGGTGCTGTGGAAGGAGATCGTTACCGTGAACGACCTGGTCCTTCGTAACGCCCGCCAGGCCGTCCAAGCCGGCGGACGTTCTATGGCCCTATGTGTTGTGGGGGAACGTGCCCTCTAGCTCAATCTCTTTGGTCTGTCCGACAGCGAGAAAAGACGCATAGCAGGAGCCCCAGTGGAACCAGGCCAGGCTCTTTTTGGCCCTGCTGTTGCACTTATGCAACAGCGGTGAGATGATAAGAAGAAGGAGGATGAGGCGTTTAAACTGGCCCCAGCCACAGGACGGCCATACCATAACACAGCCAGGCCTAAGGCTCGCAGCAGGCCACCCAGCCAGCAGCCCACCCACTCTACCCCGTCTGACGGGAAGAGGAAGAGGCCTACCTGATGCTCAGCTCCAGGGGCTTCTCGGTCCAGGTTTTCAGGCGACCAGCCCATTGGACACAAGTTTGAGTCCCCATCCCCCCCCCCCCCCCCCCCCCCTTTACCCAAGAAGAGGAAGTTCTCAGCTCGAGGGCCCCTTTTCCCTCGTTCGGGTGCCCAACCCCAGTTCAATATGGACATGTCACAAGTTCAGGTGTGGTCCATAAAAAATTTCCCCTCCCAGCTTCCAGTTTCAGAACTGGGGGGAAATTCACTGTTCAAGAGTGCCCCACCACTGTTGAAAAGTGCTCAACCGCAGTCTCTTCACAGTTTGCACAAACCACTTCACACAGATTCAATAAAGGTTCAATTCCCTGTGTGTGTTTCAAAAATAAAAACAACAAAACAACAAAAACAACAAAAATATCCAACACTGAGAGCGAAAGCTCTGCCAAGTGCTGTTGTTCCTCAGAAATTCTACATGTCGCCTCTAAGTTGTCCACTAGATGGCACCATTGCATCACAAATGAACGATCCGGTTGTATTGCCAGCCCTAGGCAACTCGCCGGTGAGTGTGGGCTCTCTCACGTCACACGTGACAGCCTGGCAGTCTGTGTCGGCTCCAGAATGGGTGATTCGCACCATCATGAAGGGCTACAGACTTCAGTTTACCAGAAAACCTCCACGTTTCAGTGGAGTTATCTATTCTCACACAGAAGAGAACTCCGCGCACATTCTGAAGGACGAGATCTCTTCTCTTCTCGAGAAGGGGGCGGTGCGAGCGGTGCCTCCGCATCAATGTCAACAGGGTTTTTACTCCCGTTATTTCCTGATTCCAAAGAAGGACGGTTCACTTCGTCCTATTCTGGATCTCAGAGTGTTGAACAAACATTTAAGGAAATACAATTTCAGAATGTTAACCCACAACGTTCTCTCTCATGCAATAAAACAGAGCGATTGGTTCACGTCGATCGATCTGAAAGATTCTTTTTTCCACATAAGCATTTATCCGCCACAAAGGAAGTTTCTTCGTTTCGCCTTCCAAGGCATACGTTACGAATTTACAGTGCTTCCATTTGGCCTAGCACTCAGTCCAAGAGTGTTTTGTACGTGTGCGGAAGCAGGGTTAGCCCCGCTGAGAATAGCAGGCTCAAAATCCTGACTTACATAGACGATTGGCTGATTATAGCCGATTCGAGAGAGATCGTCATGCAAAACACTGCCCGTGTGCTCGCTCACATCACAGCGCTCAGCTTCAAAGTAAATGTGAGCAAGAGCAATTTCACTCCCACGCAGAGAGTTATTTTTCTGGGTCTGGAGCTGAATTCGGTTACAATGCGCGCACGCGTCTCTCACAAGAGCGCGTTCTCTCCTTAATGAATTGCCTCTCACAATTCAAAGAAGGAACGAGAGTACAATATCGCGAATGTCTCAGGCTACAGGGTCTTATGGCTGCGGCTATACATGTCCTGCCTTTGGGCCTTCTGAGAACGAGGGCGTTCATGAAGTGGGTTTTAGCTCTTCATCTCAGCCCTTTAAGCGATCTCCGCCGCTCTGTCACAGTGACGCGCTCGTGCACAGCAGCGCTGCGCCACTGGAGGAACGCAGAGTTTTACACGCATGGGACCCCTCTCGGGGCGATTATGCTGCGGAAAGTAGTGACGACAGACGCGTCCTTAACAGGATGGGGAGCCACGCAAGAGGGCAGAACAGTGAATGGGGTGTGGCCAAGCACACTTCACTCAGCCCATATAAATTATTTAGAGCTCCTCACTGTGTGGAAGGCTCTGAATCAATTTCTGCCCCGCTTGCAGGGGCATCATGTGCTGGTGCGCTGCGACAACACGACAGCTGTAGCATATATCAACCGCCAGGGGGGGATGCGCTCCTCCAAGCTGCATGCTCTCGCTCACAGGCTGTTAGTATGGAGCAGGCGGCACTTCCTGTCGTTACGGACGACCCATGTCCCAGGCATTCTGAACAGGGGCGCAGACCTCTTGTCAAGGGGAAACCCTCTCTACGGAGACTGGCGCCTCCATCCTCAGATAGTGGGTCTACTGTGGAGGAGGTTCGGCCAGGCAACCGTAGATCTCTTCGCCTAGCACGAAAACGCCCATTGTCCTATGTTCTTCTCGCTACGGGACGAGGACGCCCCCCTCGGCGTGGACGCACTGGCCCACCCGTGGCCCAACCTGCTGCTCTATGCATTTCCTCCCCTTTGGCCTTTTGCAGGACCTTATGGACAAGGGAAGATCCTTTTCCACTATTAAGGTCTATTTAGACCTTAAATAGACCTTAATAGTCTATTTAGATATAGTATATTAACATCGAGTGGAGAGATCCACCTATGGGTTAGGGCATCCTGATCCACCTATGGGCCCTTCCCATAGGTGGATCTCTCCACTCGATGTTTCAGAGAACCGGGGTTACGATCAGTAACCTATTGTCATTGTCGATACTGGATCACTGTCAATGAGCAGAATGGAGTCTAAGCGAAGTGGTGTTCTATTCTATTCTTGGGTGCAGTAAGGAACACAGCAGTCATTTTAATGTTCCTAAATCCGAACCGCTGAAGACGCAGTGGCTGAGTTTGTTTTCGAAGGGAATATTCCCCACGATCAACGTCAATGCTTTCATGTTTGCGCGAATCATTTCACACACCAGACTGCTTTATAAACGAGGGTCAGTATAAAGCTGGTTTTGCTAAGAAGCTGCTCCTGAAAAAAGGATCGGTACCAACTATTCGTGTTCCTGCAGCTGCTCCAGAAGAACTGAAGTGAGTGTAACGTTTTATTAACCTTTATATTAATATTTATATTAATCTTTGCAAATCGCTAGCTGCACGGTTCACGATGAATGCGGCTAAGGTTTACACTCAGGGTACATTACGGCATGTTTTCTACGACGTTCTCAATATAATTCATAATCCCACGTTTATAATGAACAACGCGTTATGGTTATTGTGTTATTGTGTTACAAACAGTGTACGCACTGAACAGAGGGGCGGGGTGAGCAAAGCTCATAATCATTTAAAGGCATATGCACTGAAACGGCGTGCTGAAAACAGAGCTGTTTTTGACCAGGTAAAATAAGTGTTTTCTTATAATACTAATGAGAATTTTGAATTAAAGTATATTACAAACTTTTAATTTAGACCCTAAAGAATCATATTAGCTTGTACAAAAATGGCATTATATGACCCCTTTAAGCTTTTTTATTCAAAACCACTATATTCCTGCTCAACCATTTAGCATGTAGCGTTCATATTCTGGGCTCACCTGTCTATAAAATGCATCTTCAATAAGATGTATACTGAATTTGATCTTTTAAAATAGTACATTAAAGCACTTTAGATGTTTTCCACGTTTAATCTCCCGCTGTTTTTAGAGGTTGAAATATTGCAGCAGATGCTATATGGAACACAAGCGCCCAAAACTTGCATTTTGAAAACGTTTTTGATATTCTTTTGAGATGGAAAATGGACAAGTCTGTAATGCAGTTCTATGCATGTTTTGACCTCCAGGTCTCTGTGGGAGTCACGTAATTGAAAACTATGAATTAAATAAAAAAAAAATATAGGTATATATTTATAAGAAAATACTACTTTTCAGTATTTCTACTTAAAAAATTCAGGTTTAATTCAATGTAAAACTTGCACTTTTTTAAAAACTATTTTATGGTAACACTTTACACTTTAGGTCTAATTTGTTAACATAGTTAATGCATTAACTAACATGAACTAAAAATGAGCAATATATTTTAAAGTTATTAACCTTTGTTAATAAAAAGGTTCACATTCATGTTAGTTTACAGTGCATTAACTAATGTTAACAGATACAACTATGGATCTTACAAATGTAGCAGTAAATGCTGAGATTGACATTAGCAAAGAATTATAATAAATGTAATAAATGCTATTGTTCATTGTTAGTTGTTCAAGTTAACTAATGTTGTTAACACTAAAGTCTTACCAGAAATTATATTAAAGATAATACAAGCATGCATACAAACAGTTTTATGTGCATACAAATGTTACAAACCTTGGCGGGCAACAATGAGGCTTGCCATGCAGTCGGGTACGCTAGTGCCAGCAGCAAGGAAAGTGATTCCCATGATGTAATCCGGAATATCTAGTGTGTAGCTGATGATGGTGACCTGCAAGGCATTAATAAAACACCACATAATCATAACAATCATCATAATACACCAACCAATGGAATGACAAGAAAGTATATTTAGTATCTTTTTCTTACCATCCACACCATGAGGTAGGAAAAAATAGCAATCCAGAGGGTTGAAGCAAAAAAAGTGACCATGAACCAGCGATGCCAACGCGGCGAAACACAGTTAGGCACTGTGTAATACAGCAAAACACTCAGCGGCCACGATACAAACCACTTCATACATGCACGGTATCCAGCTAATGCACACAATACACAGAGAAAACAAACCATAAAAGGTTAGCAAAGTACCATTTTGATTACTTCTCAGTATGTTTTTTGTAAAAAATAACAATTTAAAATAAATCCCAAGAAAAGAAAGACGAGAACGGACAGAGAATGAGGGAGAACACAGGGTATAAATACATGAAGGAAACAAAGGGAACGAATGAGTTAATTAATGAGACGACCGGTGAAAATAATGACTAATCAACAAAACAGAGATACTAAGTCACAGGGAAACACAATGAAACAGAGCATTCATGTTACAAGTAGGAGGATAAGTACGCGCCAATAGTGGGAAACTCAGTATTTTTGTGCAGTGTGCACATGTCAAAAGATCCGATTTGTATTTTTTGACATATAAATGCGCAGATTAACCTGACCATTTATTTAGCATTCATGTCAGCACTATGTTTGGATTCAACAATCGGAATGATTAAAAGTGTGCCAGAGTGAGAACGGGTTGTTATTGGGTTTATAAGTTAATATTCAGTAATATAACTGGTTTTACTACACTGACACTATCGGATGAGAACTGAATTGAGCTGAATAATGACACTGACTTTGCAACATTGACAGTAATTAAACTGAATTGAATCAACTTTGAACTGACTTTGAACTTTGAATGTGTCTTGACTTATTACATACAGTTAAATAGATATTAGATAATGGTAACTAAAAAATTATCCTAGAGATGATTCACGGCTTACCAAAAGAATAAACTATTTGAATAGTATAATAGTAATACTAATAAATTGCATTCGATCCGCTTTCATGAACTAACCAGGAATATGAAGAGGTCTGAACCTTTCGTCCCCATCCTCATCCTCTTCTTCAGGCTGATTGTTTTCCACATCCACCTTTACTCCTTTCTTACCATCCATCATTTCTGTGTCCTCAAGTGTCTGCTGTGGTTCAGCACTTCCTCCATTTACTATCCCTCTAGAACTAAATGTCTTCACTGGGGTCCTGCTCTCCCTAAGCAGCCTCTGTCTCTGAAATGTGCAGGGGAGAGATGGTAAAGAGAAGAAAAAGCGAGGAATTTACATTTTCATGCAGGGTTGGGCAATATTCTGAATTTAAGATTTTCTCCCCCTTTCCATTTATCAGATGGAATTTGATTTTGAATGACAGGAAAAGTAAATTAATTGCTATTCAAAGAAATATTTGTATCTTTTCAAAACTGATGTAGTAATGCATATTTTTGAGTCATGAACAATGTGTTTAAACAAGTTTCAGTTGTTAAATAACATTTCAAAGTGTTTAAATTCCTTTTTGTTATTGTTTTTATGTCAGCCAATACAACCAAATAGTATGTTGTAGTTGTACCACCTGATATGGAAAGTGTACCAGCCTACCCATACTTGAAATGAACAGGTTTTTTTACAGTATTTTTTTTACAGTTTTCTTTGAGAGATCACATCTTTTCACTCTGTCACAAGGATCATTTGGGCTCCTCTGGATGATTCATTATCATGTTTACTGTTATTACCTTGTCAATTCATAATAAAAGAGCCATGTTTGCAGTTGTGCCACCCTGACATACAAATTGCTGGACAAAAGTGTTTCAATTATCTCAACAGCTTTAAAACTACTGATATTTATAAAATTTGTTTATATGAAAGATCTTAAACCTAAAATGATGCCATAGTATTTATCTTTTTATTTTTCATTATTAAGACACCATTTTAAATAGTTTCTTAGTCTGTTCATTTGTATTGTTCGGACAGTTGCACCACCTGACATTTTGGGGATTTAAGATAACAAACAAAAATTAATGTCTATTATTTTACTCAACTAAAAATGAATTAAAACTAAATAGGTATTAGACTTAAGTGATACTTTATATGTCATGAATTTATCAAATTATTTTAAATATAGAAATAATGCACTTGGACACAAAAATATGCACGACATGTCATTGATCCATATATACGGTACACACACACACACACACACACACACACACTCACACACACACACACACACACACACACACACACACGCATCAGTATTATTAGGTAACATAAACAAAATTCAAGTTCACCTCACTGATGAGCATGCGTCCAGCCATAGACAGACGGGTACGTGGCGAGAAATGCGGTGTGATCATAACACGCAGCCCAGCCTCCGGGAATGAGAGCTGGTGTGGTCTCAAGATCAGCAGCTCATCCACCATCACTACTTGAGATTCCTGCCCTGAGTCTGCTGGAGCTGAGAACAACACAGAAAATGAATGCATATTAAGAAGAACCACCAGTTTGGAAGTTCTGCATTCCTGCTATAGAAAATAAAAACATGCATGCATGAGTACCTTTCTTCAACAGCACCATGGAGGTGTTGCAACTGACTCCCACTTCATCACCCTCTTTATCTGTGGGCATTTCTCTCCTGACACAACACTGAGCTGGACTACCACATGATCTTTGGACAAAGCTGGCAATCTGACGGTTAAACCTGTGAATGAGATTAAAGTTACCATGAAATCAAAAATGAAAATTCACATATTTATTATAAGTGATTTATCCGTACACGTCATTGTTACACAATATTCATGTGCCTTGTAGTCTTTGATTAAAATAACTTCTCCCTCTTGCCTCTGATGACGTGTTTACTGGCGCGAGGGTGTGACAACCTGTCACTCACATGAGGCCGACCAATAGCAAACCACAACCACCCAATCAATTCCCCATGGACAAAATCAAATCCCATTCAACATTTTTTTCTTGTTCGAGAAGACGTTTCACTCTGATATGTCACAATAAGGAAGAAAAGGTTATCGCAACTTCCGTTTCATGCCGCCTTTAAGGCTAAATAAACCAACAGTTTGAGTTTCTGTCAGACTAGAAAACAAATGGTGTCATATTTTATTCATTTAAATTTTATTATATAAATATACACCATTGTTCAAAAGTATGGGGTCGGTAAGATTTTTTCATGTTTTTGAAAGGAGACTTATGCTCAAAAAGGCTGCATTTATTTGATCACAAATAACTAATAGTTTAATATTATTGTAATTTAAAATAACTTTTAAAGACATTTATAATGTTACAAAAGATTTCAATTTCAAATATGCTGTTCTTTTGAACATTCTATTAATCAAAGAATCCTAAAAAGCAGTAAAACTGTTTTCAACATTGATAATAACAGCAAATAGAATGATTTCTGAAGAATCATGTGACACTAAAGACAGGAGTAATGATGCTGAATATTCAGCTTTGCATCATAAGAATAAATTACATTTTAAAATACGGTATATTACAATAGAAAACAGTTATTTTGAAATGTACTAATATTTCACAATATTATTTTTTACTGTATTTTGATCAAATAAATGCAGCTTTGGTGAGCATAAGAGACTTCTTTTAAAAAACATTTAAAAACTCTTTCTTATTCCAAACTTTTGACTGGTAGTATACAGTATATCCTCACTCCTGATATGCCTTCATTCTCTTGGTATGGTTTTAGCACCCTCTAGTGAGACAGTTTTGAGTACCTGGTGTCTACTTAAAGCAGTAGCACCTCAATGCAGTACATAAGATCCACGAGGAGGAGTCGGATCAAGATCCAAGGGGTGGAGATGGGTAGGATTAGGGGTGGGTTTAGGGATTAGGGGTGTGTTTAGGGATCAGGGGGCGGAGATGGGTAGGTTTAGGTATATGTAAGGTGGGAGGAGTAGGATCTGGATCCGACTCCTCCCCGTGGATTTCATGTTCTGCAGTGAGGACCATCTCCCGCTCCTCCGTGAGATACGAGGCCGGTGCATCTCACAGGTGTCGCTCATCAGTAATCACGCCACCGGCCTCGCGCCGTTCTCTCGCGGCCCTAGCCTCGTCCTGCTCGCCACAGTAAACATAATGAATGGCGACTGTAGAACACAAAAGCCGAATCCTGGACATTATGGGCGATCTCGAAAAACCTGGGCAGACTCATCACACTCATCACGGAGACTCACTAGCCTAGGCTTGTTGTTTAACATCTGCGCTCTGTTACCGGAAGGCGTGGCCTCCTAGGGCAGCGAAGCAATTGCATTCTGGGAGTTGTTGTCTTTCATCCACATAAGCCAAAAATACATTTTCTGGCTTTTCTCAGTCTAGAAAGCTCAAAAATAAGCTTTCAAAAAATTCAAAAATAATTTCACATTTCTTCTACATAAATGACCCATTTTAAATACACCTTCCCAGAGGTGAAGTGCCCCTTTAAGCAGCACTATCTGTAATTGTTCTTTATGTATTTAGAAATTCTTAATTATGCTTTATCTCTAAAGCTGTTAGACACATTTCTTGTAAGTATTCAGTGCTAAAAACATTATACAGGTCCTTCTCAAAAAATTAGCATATTGTGATAAAGTTCATTATTTTCCATAATGTAATGATAAAAATTTAACTTTCATATATTTTAGATTCATTGCACACCAACTGAAATATTTCAGGTATTTTATTGTTTTAATACTGATGATTTTGGCATACAGCTCATGAAAACCCAAAATTCCTGTCTAAAAAAATTAGCATATCATGAAAAGGGTCTCTAAACAAGCTATTAACCTAATCATCTGAATCAACTAATTAACTCTAAACACCTGCAAAAGATTCCTGAGGCTTTTAAAAACTCCCAGCCTGTTTCATTACTCAAAACCGCAATCATGGGTAAGACTGCCGACCTGACTGCTGTCCAGAAGGCCATCATTGACACACTCAAGCAAGTGGTTAAGACAGAAAGAAATTTCTGAACAAATAGGCTGTTCCCAGAGTGCTGTATCAAGGGACCTCAGTGGGAAGTCTGTGGGAAGGAAAAAGTGTGGCAAAAAACGCTGCACAACGAGAAGAGGTGACCGGACCCTGAGGAAGATTGTGGAGAAGGACCGATTCCAGACCTTGGGGGACCTGCGGAAGCAGTGGACTGAGTCTGGAGTAGAAACATCCAGAGCCACCGTGCACAGGCGTGTGCAGGAAATGGGCTACAGGTGCCGCATTCCCCAGGTCAAGCCACTTTTGAACCAGAAACAGCGGCAGAAGCGCCTGACCTGGGCTACAGAGAAGCAGCACTGGACTGTTGCTCAGTTTTGCATGTCATTTGGAAATCAAGGTGCCAGAGTCTGGAGGAAGACTGGGGAGAAGGAAATGCCAAAATGCCTGAAGTCCAGTGTCAAGTACCCACAGTCAGTGATGGTCTGGGGTGCCATGTCAGCTGCTGGTGTTGGTGCACTGTGTTTTATCAAGGGCAGGGTCAATGCAGCTAGCTATCAGGAGATTTTGGAGCACTTCATGCTTCCATCTGCTGAAAAGCTTTATGGAGATGAAGATTTAATTTTTCAGCACGACCTGGCACCTGCTCACAGTGCCAAAACCACTGGTAAATGGTTTACTGACCATGGTATTACTGTGCTCAATTGGCCTGCCAACTCTCCTGACCTGAACCCCATAGAGAATCTGTGGGATATTGTGAAGAGAAAGTTGAGAGACGCAAGACCCAACACTCTGGATGAGCTTAAGGCCGCTATCGAAGCATCCTGGGCCTCCATAACACCTCAGCAGTGCCACAGGCTGATTGCCTCCATGCCACACCGCATTGAAGCAGTCATTTCTGCAAAACGATTCCCGACCAAGTATTGACTATTGAGTGCATAACTGAACATAATTATTTGAAGGTTGACTTTTTTTTGTATTAAAAACACTTCTTTTATTGGTCGGACGAAATATGCTAATTTTTTTGAGACAGGAATTTTGGGTTTTCATGAGCTGTATGCCAAAATCATCAGTATTAAAACAATAAAAGACCTGAAATATTTCAGTTGGTGTGCAATGAATCTAAAATATATGAAAGTTGAATTTTTATCATTACATTATGGAAAATAATTAACTTTATCACAATATGCTAATTTTTTTAGAAGGACCTGTATACAATGTCTAAGAGCATTATTTTGATGTTTTTGTGAAAATTATTAGTTCTTGTTCATCTCACTTAATTTCATCAGATATTTACACAGATATTTACATATATTACACAGTTAAATAATATAATATAGTTTCTCAAAGGGTTTTTCAGTCGCTGTTTCTCTTGAGGCACACCAGCCTCCAAAACACAACATACTCTTCATATTGTCAACATAGGTTGTTATATCTGTATGAGATAAGTATGTGGGATCCTGTATTATCAACACCTCTGCATCAAAACATGCTTTAGTTTCCCTCCTCCAATAAAACAGAGAGCAGGGATGTTTATCTCAAGCTTACCCTAATGGCCTTAAAAGGTATTTAATGAAGACTGTTATCATCTAGAATATCCTTATCTCTCTAGAAGCTGTGTTGTCTGTACAACACTGTCTCTCATCCAGGCTCCTCTAAACAATAAATGAAACAGGGTCCTCTCTCTCATATGGAGGAAAGAGGTGTCATGTATTAGCTTGAACTTGGAAATTCTTAACCCGTAGCAATTAAGAGAAGAGATGCTTAAGAAGGAATATGATTGAAGCAAGAGGGAGGTCTGTGTAAAATACGTTTCAGTCTAGGCTATTATTTTATAACTTCATTTGGGATTTAGAGCCAGACAAAGACAACGAATACTACAGTATTAATTCTAGGATTATATGTTACACTTTCTTAATTCCTCCCAAGGTTTCTTCATCTAAAACCTAACCATCTTGGGAGTTTTTCCATTACACATTAGCCTTTGACTTGCTGACTAGGAGTTTTCAGACACAATTTTCAGTAAGAGTGCTTTGAAACAGTATTGTTTGTTAAAAATGCTATACTAATAAAACATAATAAGACTTGACAAGTGTCTCGCTTTTTTTGAAAGTACTATAGGTGGATCAATGTTCTCTTTAATGTTGTAAAGTACTTAATTACTCTAATATCTCTGATGTGTCTAATACACTGATATCCCATATGCAAAAGAATATGCTTTAGCGTACTTTTAAATAGTACTTATTTTAGAAATAACCATTCGAAAGAATATAGTTCTAAAGTATGAATGCAAAATTAATGTTATGCTTTCGGAAACTTAATTGCATGTTAATGGGTTTGGTGTTTTAGAAAATCTTCAAATATCTTCTAAAATGTTCCAAAAAAGGGTGATAAAAGTGGAGGGATACATTACTTCATGAATAAAATACTACTCTGAATGCTTTCTAAAGGCAATGTGATGGAGAACAGCATTATTTATACTCACTTCATGATAAGGATATAGACTCCATACATGGAGATCAGAAGCATGGATTCCCACCTATAACAATGGATACAAAGATCGTTAGCGAATACAACTCTAATATATAAAAAGATCTCATAAGTATAAATATATTAACTTTCTAATGCTTCTAAATAATGAGACTACTCTGCTTGAACATGTGGACATGGGTGTAGAAGAAACATACAGTTATAAGACTTACCATACAACTCTTTCATCATAGATAACCTAGAGAAAGGTGGACAAATGAAGGGATAAAATGACTGTGATTTGATAATGAATTCTTCATGTATAATTTTAATTAAAACTCCACAGAAGTAAATCTAGAGACGCGCTGACCGTCATTATTGAGTCTTTATACTTTTAAGGGGTTCACAAACTTTTTTTCAGCCAAACCTCAGTCTAAGATGAAAAATATTTACTTTAAGTGTTCCCTAAGATCTTAAGTTAATATTTCAATAATTTAACGACACATTCGCAAGTTCAAGGTTCTCTGACGTCGGTTAATGGTCACAAGTAAACGCATAAAATATCGAATCATTTTTTACGAAGTGATTTATTTTGATTTAAATTATATATATCAAATTTATGATTGAATAAATTGTTAATATGAAACATTATGATTGGAAGAAATATTTTAGGAACAGTTCCTTTTAAGAGTATTCACACATTCGGGTTCGCTCTTTACAAGAACCAACTAACACTACAAGTTGCTATACAAATATTTATGTCTTAAATACCTTACTTTCAAATGCTCAAACCGTCGAGCTTTTAACATTACAGAACCTCAAGCTTTTATTTTGGCAAAATATTGGTAAAATGATGGAAATCACAATGCACAAGATGCACAAGACGCTGCATCATGACGTTGATGCCATGGGAAAGCTTCTGAGTGAGCCGGTGTCTGAAGCATGTGTGGAAAACGCCAATCCCAATTGGCCAACAGCATAGTCACGTGACATAGCTTCAGCGTGTCACTAAGACCACAAATAGACGCATGAAATTCACGTCACCAGATTCTAATTGTCTGAAGGGAGATGTTTTCTGGCATTGCGTGAAGTATGCCAAAGCGACGCAGTGTCTCATTCCTTCTCAGGGAATGGAGTTTACAAACATAACCTGAGATGTTCCCTTTTGAGTGGAACTCAACTCTATGGGAACGTTAATACCCACGACGCCATACTGAAAAAAAAAAACATGAGCAACAAGGCTGTGAAGTATGCACATGCACAAACCCTTTGGTCTAAAGAACGGTGTAACCCTCTGGGGTCGACAACCGCATCAGCGTGTTTTGCTGGATTTTCTTCACATGCAGCAAAATCGACTTAAAATACTCTGTCATTTATGGTTATATTAAACTGTAAAAGGTCTACTTTTGTATGTGTTCACTTACAATCAAAACAAAACACTGTCCTTTCTGCCGTGAACTATTTTCAGGAGAACATCTTTAAAATTAAACAAAACTCAGCGCACACATATCTTTATAAACATTTAAGTTTATTCAACTCAACTTTATTCTACTGGTTTCAGTTTCATTTCGAGGAGCAAAGGACCCAGCTGAGGATTGTTAAGGGTAAGTTCTTTATTCTTCACTATGGACTAGTGTCTGTAAACTGCAAAAAGACTGTTTAAATATGAATCCTGCATGTTGCATGTCTGTATGAATGAATGGCGCAGATGCACGGTTTCATTTACTTCACATACCTACATTAGTAAACATGCTATTTTTACATGAACATGTACACATTGACTATAGTTTGGCTATAACTACATTGCTAAACTGAGATAAGTGAAATCGACAGAAATATGTTGAAATAAAATGTCTTTGTATAAGCATCGTATTATACTGCAAATGAACAGTTATATGTTCCATAATATAAAATAAATACGATATATAATACGTTACAGACGTAATATGAAGGTTTAGACAAGATTTCGTTGACCTGTTTTGGATAGATTATGAAGTGTTTACAGTGTATGTCTAGGAGTATGTCTAAGCAGCTTCGTCAATAAATAGCATAATAGCAATAAAAAACTTGAATAGACAATGCAAGAATAAATACAGTGCAATAATTAGTGATAATTAGGAGGATGGTCTTTTGACCGAAAGCTTGGTCTATTAAATTTGCTTTAAGGATTTGAGTGTGCGGACAGTTTATTTATTGAGATCTTTAGTCTTGTGTGTCTGGCACCTTGAAGATCGTGAGTGCGGTGTAACTCCTTCAAAGTGATAATTAGGACTAAAATGAAATAGTATATTGCACATAAAATGTCTAAATAATACTGTTATTTATAAAAAAAACAAAAAAACATCGAAACTGTATTACACATGCACTATATTATTGCACGCAGAGTAGAAGAGCAATAATTTGTCAGTCGAACAGCCTCTGGAAAAAAACAAACTGTTCCTGAGCCTATAGTTGTTCTTGCCTGGATGGAGCGCAACCTTCTTCCTGAGGGAAGCGGGGCAAACAGTACATAGGCAGGGTGGGAAGAGTCCTTCATAATACTGCCAACCCTGTCCCTGCATCTACTACTGTAAATATCCTCAATTGTTGGTGTTACATCCTGCCTATTCTAGGCTATGTAACCAGAGAGGGAAGACGACGCGGAATAAGCTGGAAGCGTTGATAAGTTCATACATCAAGGCAAGGCAAGTTTATTTATATAGCACATTTCATACACAATGGTAATTCAAAGTGCTTTACATAGAAGAAATTAAAATAATCAAAACAAATAAGAATAATTAAAACAGTTTAGAATAAAAAATAAAGTACAGTAAAAACAGTCGGACGAACAGTGGCACAGTGCTCATTCAGTAAATGCATAGCTAAACAGATGTGTTTTGAGTCTGGATTTGAATGTGACTACTGTAGGAGCACATCTGACCTCCTCTGGAAGCTGGTTCCAGCTGCGGCTGGCATAATAGCTAAAAGCAGACTCTCCTTGCTTAGAGTGAACCCTTGGTATTTCTAGCTGATGTGATCCTAATGATCTGAGTGATCTGTTAGGTTTATATTCAGTGAGCATATCTGCGATATATTGAGGTCCTAGCCCATTGAATGATTTATATACCAGTAATAATACTTTAAAGTCAATCCTAAATGTAACTGGGAGCCAGTGTAAAGACCTGAGGACTGGTGTGATATGTTCAAATTTTCTGGTTCTGGTTCTCGTAGCCTGGCAGCAGCGTTCTGTATGAGCTGCAACTGTCTTATGGTCTTTTTAGGAAGGCCAGTGAGGAGACCATTACAATAATCCACCCTGCTGGTGATAAAAGCATGCACAAGTTTCTCTAAGTCTTGATTGGAAACAAAGCATCTAATTCTTGCAATATTTTTCAGATGATAGTATGCTGATTTAGTTATTGCTTTGACATGACTACTGAAACTAAGATCTGACTCTAGAGACACACCAAGATTCCTTACTTGATTTTTAGTTGTTAGACCCCTAGCGTCAAGGTATGCATTCACCTTGAGAACTTCATCTTTGTTTCCAAACGCAATAACTTCAGTTTTGTCTTTGTTTAACTGAAGAAAGTTTTGGCACATCCAACCGTTTACTTCATCAATGCATTGGCACAGGGAGTCAATGGGGCTGTAATCGTTAGGCGATAGGGCTAAGTAGAGCTGTGTGTCGTCTGCATAGCTGTGGTAAGAGATTCGGTTCTTTCTCATTATTTGGCTCATTGGGAGCATATATAGGTTGAACAGGAGTGGCGCAAGAATTGAGCCTTGAGGGACTCCGCATGTCATGGGTGTCCACTCAGACTTATGGTCTCCTATACTCACATAATAACCTCTCCCTTCTAAGTATGACCTGAACCATTTTAGGACTATCCTAGAGAGCCCCACCCAGTTTTCCAGCCTGTCAAGAAGTATGTTGTGATCGACAGTGTCAAATGCAGCACTGAGGTCGAGTAGTACCAGTACTGATAATTTGCCTGTATCAGTATTTAAGCGAATATCGTTTATTATCTTTATGAGAGCTGTCTCTGTGCTGTGATGCGATCGGAAACCAGATTGAAAATTGTCAAAGTATTCATTCAAGATTAAGAATTTGTTCAGCTGATTGAAGACAACTTTTTCAATGATCTTGCCTATGAAAGGAAGATTTGAGATCGGTCTATAGTTGCTTAAGATAGTCTTATCCAGATTGCTCTTTTTCAGGAGGGGCTTGACAACTGCAGTTTTCAGGGAGTTTGGAAAACTACCAGAAAGAAGTGAGGCATTAACCACTTTTAGGAGATCTGCTTCTAAACTGTTTAACACACTTTTGAAGAAAGATGTGGGAAGTGCGTCAAGGGCGCAGGTTGATGTTTTAAGGTGCTGTACGGTTTCTTCCAAAATTTTGCCATCAATTTCTTCGAAAACAGACATAGTAACTACTTTCTCAGGTAGTGGTCTGATCTGTCTGACCCCAGTGCGGCTCAATGATGTGCTGATCACCTTTCTGATATTCTTAATTTTCTCAGAGAAGAAAGAAGCAAACTCACTGCACTTGCCATCTGAGAGCATTTCACTGTGAATCTGGCTTGGGGGGTTTGTCAGTCTCTCTACAGTAGCAAAAAGAGTGCGAGTGTTGTTTAAGTTGCTGTTTATAATATTCGAGAAGAAAGTCTGTCTAGCTTTGCCTATATTAAAAGCATGGATGCTGTCTTTGTCGATGTTATAATGGACTACAAGTTTTGTCTTCCGCCACATGCGCTCTGCTCTTCTGCATTGTCTTTTCATATTTTGCACAGCTGTTGAGTTTCTCCAAGGTGCTTTTTGTCTACCACTCTTCCTGACTTTCACAGGAGCAATATAATCTATTACACCTTTAACCTTTGAGTTAAAACAATCAAGGAGAAAATCAACAGAGTCAGCAGATATGCTTGGTTTTAAAGATATGGCCTTCATAAATAGCACACTAGTGTTCTCCTTTAAGCATCTCTTCTTGACAGACACAGATCTAGTTTCAATGGCAGGAGAGATCAATATATCAAAGAAAATACAGAAATGATCAGACAGTGCTACATCCTTAATAACAATCGATGAGATGTTTAAACCCTTACTGATAAGTAAATCTAGAGTGTGTCCACGATTGTGTGTGTGTCCACATCAGGAAATGGTTGGGAGTTCCACGCTGCCTCAGCAGAGTAGGACTTTATAGTAAAGGAATATTGCAGCTGCCAGTCTCTGCTTTAACCGAGGAGTTCAAGTGTGCCAAGGTCAGACTGGAAATGACCTTAGTAGAGTCACGCGACAAATGTGTAAGGGAGGCAACCCCTGTGTTAAAAACTGGTAGAAAGTGGTCAGCAAAGAAATCTGTAGTAGAGGCAAAGGCTGCCCTTCAAATTAGGGATATCGTGGGACAGGTACAGCATGGAAGAGGGGGTTTTGGGCTCAGTTTAGCTCCTCCTAAATGGCACAAGGCAGGCCCAGCTCAAAGGAGGAAGCTGGTAGTCAACGAGGTGCGACAGCAGGAGGAGAGGATGAGGTGTATAAAGGCCATTTCCCAGGCCAAGCAGGGAGAGTGGATGAGATGGGAGAGTGTGGAACAACGTAAGATGGGCTGGCAAGACCTTTGGTCAATGGAAGAGAGTAGGATCAGTTTCCTTCTTAGGTCAACACATGATGTTCTCCCATCACCGTAGAACCTAAACCTCTGGGTAGGAGAGGATCCCTCTTGTCCTTTGTGTTCATCACCTGCCACATTAAGGCACATTTTGACAGGATGTAAGGTGGCTCTTAGCCAAGGTCGGTTTACTTGGCGCCATGACCAAGTACTGCGATGTTTGGCTTTAGCATTAGAAGGCAAGCGTAACATGACCAATAAGTTGCCACCTGTTCTAGCAAAACATTACACGCAGAAGACAATATTCCTCCGCCCAGGCGAGCAACCACCAAGAAAAGGTGTTAACACCAATTCTCGCCCAGGACAACTGGAAGCTGCTAGGGACTGGAAGATGCTGGCTGATCTTGACCAACGGCTTATTTTTCCACCTGAGATTGCCACCACTAACCTACGACCAGATATTGTTTTGTGGTCTGGATCAGCACGCATTGTTCAACTGATAGAGTTAACAGTGCCATGGGAGGATGCGGTAGACGAGGCATATGAGAGGAAGAAACTGCGGTATGCTCATCTGGCCACGGAAGCAGAACAGCGAGGATGGAGAGTCCAGGTTTACCCAGTGGAAGTGGGTTGTCGAGGTTTTGTGGCACACTCTACAACCCGGTTCCTCAGAGACATCGGATTCAGTGGCCAAGAGTTGCGTCGCACAGTAAAGAACTTATCTGAAGCAGCAGAAAGGAGCAGCAACTGGCTGTGGTTGAGACGGAAAGATTCTAGCTGGCTGTGTACAGGCCGCCACGCTACGGTTTCGTAGAATTCTTGAAAACTTGAAGAGTCTGTTGGTTTGTTTGTATACGTTCCTGTGGATATTGTGTGAATGACGGGTGGTTGGGCAGATATTGTGTTTTGCGGTAGGTGGTATGCCATACGGAACCGTTGTCCACTGAAACTGCATATTAACGCACCAGTGGGGCTCGACAGCCTTAGTCAAACGGGTTGGCGCGTATGGTTGGGTCGCGGAGAGATTGTGATATTGTGGTTAGGTCTCAGCAGCAGGAGGGATGTAGAGGTCAGTAAGCTGGACTGAGTTGAGTGGGGGACGGAGGGGGGTGACACTGGGACGCCAGAGTCACTGTCGAGCCCTCTTGAGGTGTCGTGGGCTAGTCGACGAAACACTGAGGACGGAAGGTGCCCACTTGAAGACCCTAGAGATGTCCCCTACTCGGTTCTATCCAGACGGTTGTCGTGCTGGTCCTGTAGTTGCAGCCGTCGCGTGTGCTGACGCGCCAAGTACACTGCTGCCGTTAACGCCGGACAGAAGGGGAGTCACACCACCTTATGGAAAGAAGTGTAAATGGATGGAGAAGCATAGTTTACTGTAAAGCTACGTCTTAGTTTTGCTTATCTTGGCGAAAGCCGAGTACAAATCAGCATGAAGTTTTAACATCTACTCTCGTGTAATGGAAATCAATCTTATGCAATCTCAGAGACTTCTCTGAGTCTGACTCCAAGGGCTCAACCAGAGCTTCTAATAAGACTTCCAGGACTACGGAAAGACCCCAGGAAGGAACTCGAGGTCTGCAGATATGCCTCAGCTGTAAAAAATGAGACACATCAATATACTAATATATATATATAACGTACATCTAAAACACCTCAGATCCTGATGCCTATTTAGCATTTAAAATAGAGAGAAAAGTGCTAACATAGAGAGCTTATTAAACACAGCCAATAATCAGCCAGTTACAACACAGTCTGGAAGATGGCTAGAAGTGTTGTCAATATAACTTTTATTTTTTAGATACTGGCAGAACGATGTAAGAAACATGTAGATTCATGTAAAAGAATGATGAGATCATTGTTTGTACATAGTTGGAGGAAGGAGAGAAAGAAAGGGGAACACCCGTCTGCTCAACCCGTAATCTATGCACTGTCTTCAGACACCGGCTCATGCAGAAGTGTTCCCATAGCGCCAAAGTCACTACGCAGCATTGAGTTCCACTCAAAAGGGAACTTCTTCGATTTGATAATCTCGATTTAATAATATAAATATTGCTATTTTAGTTTTATTTCAATGAATTCTGCAGCCCATTTTGGTTATTTCGATGTTACAGTTGAATTAACTCATTAGCTTTTCATCAACTCATGAATCCCCTGCAGTTCCCTCATGAACACCTATTTGCAAAACCATCCCTTATTAAAACAATATAAATTGCTTTATACTATTTCTCTTCTCTTTTGTCCTCTCCCATATGTACCCATATACTCACCAAAATCAAGGCCAACACTGAGAAGATGTAGTACAACGAGTCTCTGAACATAGGCCACCAGGTAAGGACCACCGTCTAGGGCACAAATGGACACACGAGAAACTGTGGTAATATTCTTATTTCAAGTGTTCTTATTCCAAGTGTCAGCTCACAATTCTGACGTTTTTCAATTCTGAAGTTAATTTTTCACAATTCTGACTTTTTCTCACAAAGTTCATTTGTACTTTCTTCACACAATTTTATGCTTCGGCTAAAATTTTCTCAAAAGCTGAGAGGAATGAATGATGAGGTCAGATTGGTAGATCATAATGTCTACCTGACGGGCAAAGATGCCACACACTCCAATGATGACCAGTATGTTGAAGACAGCCGACCCTACAATGGTGCCTACGCCGACATCCCCCTCTGTGATAAATACACCTGCCATCAAGCACATGAACAATGGTAACAATATGTGGCAGAGGAATTACATTGATCATTAAAGAAATTTCACATTTTACCATGTGGTTTAAATTATATATATATAAAAAAAGAACTTAATGGACTTGGTAAAAATGCACAGTTTAGCCATTTAATTAGTTTGATAAAGAGCACCTATGATAAATATACCTTGATGCTGTTCCAAACCTGTATACATTTCATCCAAAGAACACAAAAGGATTAACTTTTGAAGAATGTTTCAGCTTTTTTTCTGAAGGTAACAAACTGAAAGATTTAACTATATATTAATTTGAACAAGATTTTCAGTAAATAACAAGGACTTAAATTTCTGTCCTTAGTAGAGCTTGACAGTCCCTGGTAGCTTCATCAAGTCAATTATTATTTATTTGTGTGCTGCTTTTTACAATACACATGGTTTCAAAGCAGATTTACAGGAAATCACGTATATATATTGTAAAAGAAAGTTATACTATAATGTAATGTCTATGATGTATTTAAAGTATTGAACAGTTTCAATATAAGCTGACTGAAAGTCTTGCCATACTGCATTTGACATTATATGCTTTCATTGTATGGAAAATAACTACTTGAATATTTAAAATGTCTCCTTTTGTGTTCAATGGGTTTGTAATGAAGGTGAGTAAATTATGATGTACCTTTTTTTTTTTTTTAAGTGAAAAAAAAATCACAGTTTTGAGGACAGGACTTTTGCAATGTAATATATAAAAAGTAGTATGTGCACATCTTAACCAATCATAACCAATCAAGTGGAGGTATTAGTGAAAAAGAAAACTGACCAATTAAGGAAGTAAATAATTCGGGAGCAGAACTTCCTGCAGCCATAAAAGTAGCTCCAGCCACATCTTCACTCAGCTGCAGATTCTAGTGAAAAGCATTATATACAGTAGATTAATCATGGGTACTAGCAATAATATGAAAATAATAAAACTGTCTCTTTGACGATTCCTTGTACAGTGTCTTACACAATGTTTCAAGATATTTATCTGCACTCATGGATACCACACCAAATGCCATGTACATCAACCAACCTTCCCTTGTTAAAAAGAAGTGTGCTATATTGTACTGGATGTGCACTTGTAATGTACAATTTACAAAAAGTATATAGGCTATTTTTTAAAAACCTATTATTTGCACCTGCAGATAATATTCATTTTAATATTACATTATATTTTAAAGGTACTTAATTGCAACTTTATCATTAACTTTGTGTAATATATTCAAATACATGACCTATAAAAGTAATTACGAAATTACTGCTCTGGGTCTTGGCTGTTCTCTGGATCGAAATGCGAAGCTCTCCAAACACCTAATGACGGCCTCTCTCCAGTTTAGTTGGGAGGTCGACGGGATGATAGTTTGCCCAGATCCAGAAAAAAGTGACTTCAGCCCCGTTCACGCGACCAAGCAACGCGATACCATTCATTTCAATGGTGAGCGGGCGACTTCCGGCGACAGCGACCGTTGGCGACTAGATAAAAAGTTGATAAATTTTTAACTTTATGCAAATGAAGAGCGATTTTCGCGAGCGACAACCAATAGGAGTGGAGCGCACGTGATCCTTCTCCTCAGCCCCTGGGCCTGCAGTGATGGATGAAAAATTGATCCTTGCGGTTAGCAATTTTCCAGTTTTATTTGATATGTAGTGGGAACGCCCACTAGCGACCTCATCGCCAGCGACTGGCAGCGACGTGTGAACGGGGCTTTCAGGGTCTCGTCGTCGTAAGGGCAGGTGAGTGCAGTGTTGCCAACTTAGCGCCTTTGTCGCTATTTTTAGCGACTTTTCAGACCCCTTTAGCGACATTTTTTCAAAAAAGCGACTAGCGCCAATTTTAGCGACTTTTTGGACAAACCTCAGTAACCTCCAAATGTTGCCAGTACTGTCCTGCGAGCGCGAGGTCTTGCTTTCTCCCTGTCGTCACTCTCTCTTGCTGCTTCTCCCATGTTCAGTGAATGGCTGAGAGGAGCGCACGGCCGCTGACAGACGAATGAGCAGTGTTTTTCCATGGACTTATCACTTATCTGCTTTTCTTTTGTTATATTTAAAGAATTTAGTTTGACCATTTTAATTTTTATTTATTTTCTTGTGCTTATTACTTGTAACACTCACTATCACAGAGCTTAGTTCATCCGGTTCCCTAACTCTCTCAATTCAGATAATGTTCCACATAGGCCAATAAAAAATGTAATCATTCACTATATTATAGCTACTCGTTCTATTGTCTGACAAAAAAAAAAGGAAATGAAAACAGCTTTATTTGACATTCGGCTATATTATGTTAAATAGAGCAATAATTTAGAGAGAAAACGCACTAGGCTGACAGAACGCAAGTACGACGCGATGACGTCATTAATATGCTAATTGACGTATGACGTCATCTAGCGACATTTAGCGACTTTTAGGGAAGGCCTTAGCTACTTTCCTTTGAAAATAGTTGGCAACACTGGGTGAGTGCAAGACGGCAAAATCTTTTGGTGAAAACTAAAAAGTTCTGTCTTTCATGAGCCACAGCAGTGAATTGCGCTGTGTAGTCCATTTTTGGTCCTGTCATCTGTCACGGTAGTGATGTTACTTATGACACTGAAGCTTCAAAGCATGTATCGAGTTCGCAGCACAATTTCTCACGAAGCTACGTGCCGCAGCATACCCTGTTGGTATTTTTATAATTAGTATTAATATAATTTTTACATTTAATGTATTGCCACACTTTATTATGTGAATTATATTATTAGAAAACTGAACATTTCGCATTGTCAGGCTTTTATTTGCGCTTAATAGATAAAACAACGACGCTGCGCACTCGGGTTTATGGCTGCTATAAATTTGACCTGCCACAAGATGGTGTTGTTTTCGAAACTCTTGATGCTTCGAATCTTTTCCCGGAACAATCAGGGGAAAGCCTCAGTGCTTCATGAGGCTTAATTTGCCCATCCCTATGTCACGGGGTGTTTGCAGGCGAACAGACGAAGAAGGTTCCAAACAACAATAGTTTTAATAATGCTATTCCCTTATGCAGGCAGACAGATAGCAAACACGAATAACATAACTGTGGCCAGACCAGGAGTGCAGGAGAGGGAACAACTTAAAACACAAATGAGGACAGTTAATTAAACACAGCTGACACATATGAACTAATAATGACGGTAACCAAGGAGACAGATGAGTGGCGGGAATCTGCACAAGGACACGTGACAAATGAAAAAAAAACAGAAAGTCCATGAAAACAGAAACTAACAGAACATACATACAGTCGGCAACTAGTCATAGTTGGGGGCATGGTGAGGGCGGAGTCGGCGTAGGGGAAAACACAGCGAACATCGTGTGTATTTGAATGACAAAAATGTCTTATTGCGAGTCATTGACACCTGCCGACCGGCAACGATACATTGCAAAATTAACTGCAATAGGGTATGATTGCCCTTGTTTAATTAAAAACTGGGTCAATGACCCAAATGGCCGGAGGTATCGTTTCCAGATATATTCTGTTATCTGGTTGAATCTCCAGGTAATTAAAGGGGCACTTGGCAACTCTAGCCATTTCTTCGTTGATTTTCACTTTTGTTGTCGCATGTTTTCTCATCGAGATCCCCCTACAGCTGTGCGGCGTATATTTTCACAACACTGTCATAAAAAAACTCATTTGCGGGACCTTCCTCCCGCTTTCTACCGCTGCTTATGTGCAGATGTTATTATCGGAGCCGGCCAACTTTATCGTGTGGAGCTATGTCTACCGAGGTGGGTAATACATCATACACAGTATCATAGAATTATGTAGAATTGCCATAAAGCAGTTCGTGTTTCTCGCTCGTTCTCGCGAGACTTCCTATTTCCAACTTACCGGGACGTTAGTCCCCATGTTGCAAGGTTGGTTTTCCGCCTGGGAACACTGGGGGGAGCGGGGAAAATCACCATTCTAGGTTATTAAACCATCCAAATGATTTCTAAACGGTTTTATTAAGTTGAAATAGTTGCCAAGTGCCCCTTTAAGACATCACGGTAGCTACCGGTAACATTAGCCTATAACTCAATCATATGTTGCAAACTATAACTTCATAAAATCTTATAGGATTACTATAGTTCTTTTTCGTAAAGGAAGTAGACAAATCTGGCCCACTGCCTAATTCAAGTTTAACACGTAAGCAATAAGGTACGAGAGGCTGTGCTGTATCGTGAATAAGTAACGGCTGGAGGGCGTTGTTAGGCACGACGCGAAGCGGAGTGCCTGCAACCCCTTCAGCCGTTACTTATTCACGATACAGCACTTGCCTCGAGTACCTTATTGCTTTTATAAAACGTTTGCCACACAATAAAAATATTAAAGCCGAAAAATATGTATCTATGCAACTTTCATGAAGTAAAATCACTAAAAGCCTGCCTTCCGCTGGAAAAAATAGTCCCGGAACGTGAACAGCAACAGAAGTTACATATATTATTTCGCCAATAGATGGCGGCAAAGACTGTCTTTATGAGTGAGTGAGTGAGTGAGTCTGTAGAGAAGGCTTTTGAAAGGACTCGAACTTGTGATCACGGAGAAGACAGACGCAACTGACAGATGACTAACGTTATGCACGGAAAACCCCATGACTGTTAAAAGGACAAAATATGCAGCGGACATTCAAACGCATTTTTTTATTATGAATATAGGACTGACCTGAAGGAAAATGCTACGTCTACTGTAAATGCAGGTACACTCGCTTACTCGATCTCTCACAATGCTCTGCTCTAGCTTTAAATGAACAATATCAATGAGATGAAACATCTGTTTAAGTTGCTAAGAGTGGTTGCTAGGGGTGTTGTGTAGTGATACATAGAACCGTTGGGTGAAGCGGTCATAGCCGTGTTTTATCGTGAATAAAGCACAGCTATTGACCAATCAGAATCAAGGATTGGAACTAACCGTTTTATAATCACTACTATATCACACAGGGATCTACTCACACAGTAATCTCAAAAATTACAAGTCCCTGGAGGCTCACACGGTTCTGTGCGTTTATTAGGAAGGATGTAGAACTTCAATTTATATAAAAAAAATTATATTGACAGTACAGAAAACGACACGACAACTCTTCGGCATGATTGTCGCGTGTATTTCAATGAGCGCCAAGGCAATGTTTTCCCCCACGGGCTAAATTCACATCACGTGATGGGGCGTTCCCAGACCAACCGTCTGTATGTATAACGTTGACAGACTTATGTATATTCTTTTAAAGTATATTGTTTCTGTACTCTTTTTAAAAGTATGCTAAGTTTACTTCTTTTTCACAAGGATTCCCAGTGGCATGAATCTCTGCTTTTTTAAAGAAATTATTAAATCCTGACAAATTGTGAACAAAGGTAATTTCCTAAAGGAACATGAATAAAGGGAATTTCCCAAAAGGAAACACACCTTCCAATCTTGATGTATTAATTAACACTCAACCCAGAGTTCATGACATAGCATCAGTGTTGACCCATGGGAGCAGGGAAACAAGGCTGTCATCACTTCGTTTTCTGAGAAATGGCAAAAGTAACGTGTTGTCATTCTTTTTCCAGTTGAAATGTCTGACAGGGGGCTTGACTCACCTCTGAGATCTTCTCCAGGGAGGGGACAAAATAGTCGTCGCAAACAAGAGCAAGTGCGTAGAACATATAGATGGCCTGCAACAAGAAGAGAGAAGATTAGATAGATAGATAGATAGATAGATAGATAGATAGATAGATAGATAGATAGATAGATAGATAGATAGATAGATGCATCTCACTCACACATAGCACGTGTAGTAGTATGGCACCTCTCTTCCGCTGTTCTTTGGTGAAGATGTCCTCAGGGAACTCATGAATTGCTAATGGGAAGATAACACATGGTATGGACATCATTAGAAAAAGTTGTGCTTGTTGGATTTTCAAACCCATTTAGTTTAATGTGTGGTGGACTAGTTGCATTTTCAGGCATTAAATACAGTCTGACAGAGAGGAATATGAACTTTAATGATGACAGAACCCAATTCTATTTATAGCAGCCCATCATTGTGCTACTGAAACCTCCCTTCTTCACACTCATAGGTCACACAACACACAACCATACAAAACCACTTTTCAACAATATAAAAAAATGAAACAGATAGAAAAATATGTACAGTGACAATAATTTTACTTACAACATATACCATCTCGATCTACTCTGTGAAGTCGCGTAAATCTCACTCAAAAGCACACATCACCCGAAAATCTCGTGGATCATTAATATAGTAGAATTAACCAATTGATTCCATGAATTAAGTATTCACAGATTAAATAAAGATTCATAAACATATGTCCTTCTGTAAAGTTGTTCATTCGTAAATTAGTTTTAGAATCTGTCAATAAATCAATATTGTACGTTTAGTGTATGCAAACAAAGTAAATGTAGGCTATACGCATGCCGTGGTATTGACACATTGACACATGATCATGTTGCTACTATCCACGCTCATTTTATAGCTCTATATTGTTGACAGCACGTCAATTGACACATTTTTACGAGATATTTTAGGATTTATAAGTTCTCAGTTGGGTTTCGGTAAAGCACCTCTGACTCTGAGCAATACAATTTTCCACTGGGATGCTGCTTCACTGACTTCCTTAGGAAAAGGACTTATAAAAACAAACGCATGCACAGGAACGATTTTCTTTTCTTGCCCTTTACATCCCAGACAAAACCTCTTCACCCCTCCTTTATTTATAATGGTTTGTTTTGCTTTCTCTCATTGATTGACTTCTTTTCTTTCTCTCGCTCCTTCTGTCCTTCGTTTCTTTTTCCTTTCTCTTTCCCTCCTCTTCTCTAGCCCAGTGTCAAAAGACATGTTTTGGCTGTATGTAAATCGCTGTATCGTGCTGAAATAACCTGGCTCCACTGAACATCCCGACGAGTTGCCTCAGCGAAGGCAGTTACTATGGAGACATCTTCCCTAGGGCAGAGAATTGTTGACGAGCAGCGGCAGGAAGCCAATGGCAACAGAGCGAAAGTGAGAAACTGGGTGGAGGATATATCTTTCCCATGGACTTGAATCAGGAAATATGGGAAAAAAGGAGGGACGAAGAGATGACAAGCGACACAGAAGTGCAACTGCTAAAAATACATCATTTCCCTCTCCCAGGGGGAAAGTATTGGGGTTCTGTGAGAAAGACACACATATAAAATGGTGTTTGACTCCAACAAAAATAGAGGAAAGTGTGTAAATCAGATTGCAGAGCAAGTGAATGATTTTAAGACAAACTGTATAAAGGGAAAAGCTAGGGTAATGGAAACTTACACTCTGGTGGAAACTTACAACTTACAATTGTTTTTTTAGTCTCAACCTCACAAAAGCCAACCTGTCATTGCATGATTAGTAAACGAATACATTTTAATGTTTGCATCACATAACCAGCTCCATTTGTCTGGCTTTTCTGATGTAGTAAACCTGTTCGGTATTTCACCTGGTACTGCACTGCACCTGTGATGTGGAGCGTTTGGGTACGAGACCTGTGAAACCCGAGTCACAATAAAGAGCTCAAAGACTTGTAGAAGCAAGATGAAATGGCACAGTTACATCAGCAAGTGTGTTTTTTAGACCATGTGTGCTTTTGTTGACACTATCAGTTAGGTTTAGTGTAGGGTTTCAGGGCTTTTATTAACATAGCACTAGGGCTACAGAGGTTGAAAGTTTTGTAACACAGGCCACAAAATTGTAGCACAAGTAAAAAACATCAGTTACCATCTCTGAAAACAACCGCAAGTAGTGCAGTTCATCAGTTAAATGTGCATCTGATTAACAAAGGACATTAATGTTCCACGCAGGGCACACAAAATGAAATCCTTAACAATAAATATTTTCTTGTAGGAAGACTAAAGGAACATAATTGCTTAACATGAAGTCAATTTTGTTTATATAGCCCAATATCATTATCACAATCCAAACATCCATCCATTTAGCTTGAGCACTTGAAAATGCTGATTCATTTTCCTATAAATAGAAAGGGTCTAAAGTTTTATTATAAAATATTAAATTATTATGACAGAAATCTGTGACAGTAATATCTTATTTTTTTGTCAGGAAATCTTATGAGAGAAAAAAAACTTCTCCACACTGGAGGAAACCTTATGGAATCACATATGTTTACTTCAAATTTCTTCAGAGAGAAGTATTATTTTTCCTATTTTTATCACAAATAGGAAGTTGTGAGCATTAGTGAGTACACACATAATGTCTGTATGTCTGTATTCACTCATAACTGGAGGGCGCCCTTGCGCAGAAAGTCTAGAAGTGAGGCTCATAGAGGTCATAAAACGTATGATGCTCAAGGAAATCTCTTGTATGGACAAATATAATTTTTTTCTTTATCATTTGCATAGCCCTATAGAACACTATAAAATAATATAATTTCTGCCTCATTCTATGATATGAAGCCACGTCAGATCACAAAAGGGGGTTATTTCAAATACCCGGCTGACGTTAAGAAGCGAGTCTGGAGTAAAAACCTCATTAAATGTTCTCTTTTGTTGGACAACTGGTTTGCAAACGCTTCTCTTTACAAGTGTGGACAAATGTTTGGTGTGTGTTGCTTTTTCAAATGCATGTTTTATAAGTGACTCAAACTGCAGCATTTATTGCAAACCGATCGAACTCTGATCTCATTGCTTAGCTTCACCATCAAACAGGACATGCTGTGCATATACTTATTTAATTAAAACTTTGCAATTTTATAATTGCACAAACAAAATTACGAATTCTGTTTAATTTCAGTTAATTGTGCAGCCCCATATTAACCTCACACACAAACAAGCACACAAGTGACAACACGCTCACTCACTTCACACAAACAAGCGGCTACGTGTCACACACGAAAAAAATGTATCACACGCGTGCTACTGTGGTAAATTTATTCACAACACAAACCAATTTTTTCATGTTATGTGTGACACACACACACACATATATATACACTCACCGGCCACTTTATTAGGTACACCTGTCCAACTGCTCGTTAACACTTAATTTCTAAGCAGCCAATCACATGGCGGCAACTCAGTGCATTTAGGCATGTAGACATGGTCAAGACAATCTCCTGCAGTTCAAACCGAGCATCAGTATGGGGAAGAAAGGTGATTTGAGTGACTTTGAACGTGGCATGATTGTTGGTGCCAGAAGGGCTGGTCTGAGTATTTCAGAAACTGCTAATCTACTGGGATTTTCACGCACAACCATCACTAGGGTTTACAGAGAATGGTCCGAAAAAGAAAAAACATCCAGTGAGCGGCAGTTCTGTGGGCGGAAATGCCTTGTTGATGCCAGAGGTCAGAGGAGAATGGCCAGACTGGTTCGAGCTGATAGAAGGGCAACAGTGACTGAAATAACCACTCGTTACAACCGAGGTATGCAGCAAAGCATTTGTGAAGCCACAACACGCACAACCTTGAGGCGGATGGGCTACAACAGCAGAAGACTCCACCGGGTACCACTCATCTCCACTACAAATAGGAAAAAGAGGCTACAATTTGCAAGAGCTCACCAAAATTGAACAGTTGAAGACTGGAAAAATGTTGCCTGGTCTGATGAGTCTCGATTTCTGTTGAGACATTCAGATGTTAGAGTCAGAATTTGGCGTAAACAGAATGAGAACATGGAACCATCATGCCTTGTTACCACTGTGCAGGCTGGTGGTGGTGGTGTAATGGTGTGGGGGATGTTTTCCTGGCACACTTTAGGCCCCTTAGTGCCAATTGGGCATCGTTTAAATGCCACGGCCTACCTGAGCATTGTTTCTGACCATGTCCATCCCTTTATGGCCACCATGTACCCATCCTCTGATGGCTACTTCCACCATGTCACAAAGCTCTAATCATTTCAAATTGGTTTCTTGAACATGACAATGAGTTCACTGTACTAAAATGGCCTCCACAGTCACCAGATCTCAACCCAATAGAGCATCTTTGGGATGTGGTGGAACGGGAGATTCGCATCATGGATGTGCAGCCGACAAATCTGCGGCAACTGTGTGATGCCATCATGTCAATATGGACCAAACTCCCTGAGGAATGCTTCCAGCACCTTGTTGAATCTATGCCACGAAGAATTGAGGCAGTTCTGAAGGCAAAAGGGGGTCCAACCCGTTACTAGCATGGGGTACCTAATAAAGTGGCCGGTGTGTGTATATATATATATATATATCACACTGTACATCCCTGGGTTTAGTGTAGGTGGTAAGTTACTTTCAAATGCAATAAACTATTAACCCTTCAGCAGTCATGCCACTTTAAAGTGCCCTGAAATGTGCAAGAAGAAATGCATTTTTCCAATGAGTCTGGCTTGTGTCAGTGTGCAAATACGTCACTGTGACTTTCACCTCACAGTCATCTGCTCCGCCTCTTGGATACAAGCAGCCAATTTGGCCGCGTGTTTCCCTTTTTCTTACCAGCTGGAGCCAAGTTTAGCTACAGTGCAGCTGAACTGACTGAAAGCAGATCAAGGATGGCTCACCCAGTTCTATGTGACAATCAAATCAAGGAAGTATAGTGTAAAATACCTCAAATTGCAAAAAAAAATTGGATAGAGAAAAGGCTTTGGTGGCTTGAATGTATATGAGAGAAATATGACAGCATCTGTCTTTCTGTCTGATTGTGTGAAGCAATTCAAGTATGAAACAAAGCCGAATCAGCTATAAAGCAGCTCTACAGAAGATAACAGTGCCATTATTTAGCTCAAGTTTTGTTCTCATACAATAGTGTAAATGCAGTCAAATCAATAAAATTAGAGTATTTTAAAACATTTTTTTTTTTTTACATTTTGATTAAATAGCATGTCACAGCTCTATTAATCTGACC